CTGTGACTGGGGGGGGGGGGTAACCACCTCTGCAATTCATCACACAATAAAAAATACACTCTACTCTTGGTGGACAAAAACACATTACATCAGTTCGCACACCACTCAGATTGATGAACGCAACTGCAATCACAGCTTATCTAAAGAATGGAGTGTAGCGACTCAATCGACACCAACAAAACAAATTCAGCAGCAGTATCAGTTTGCATTGGACAGAGGAAAGTTAACCAAAGTCGACGAAATCTTTCAAACTATCTGGGTCGAGCGATTACAGTGCGCTGACCGATTTGGACAACCGCTTTGAGTAAGGGTATCGCACAAGGAAAAATGTTTAGATCGGACTTGATGAGAACAGGAATGCTGACGATGCATACGATGCATTTGACGGATCTGGATCGAGAATGATGTGAAAATCTGCATTTTCGAAGGAAAAATCAATCGATTTAAAATTCATGTGTTGATTATGTAGAGTAGGAGGTATTTATTTTTCCGTCAATCGGACAATAAAGGAAAATGTCAATTCCATGACTAAACGATTCATAACTACACCACAGCTGCGCAATATCATGGAACCAATGGAGGAAAATTTCAACTATTAACAATAATGTGCTGAGTAAACACAAGAAACATTCGTGAGGCTAGGTGAGATGAATCTCTAAAAGTTATTTCAGTACACAATAACTCCAATTTAAGGGAACCGGAACAATAAGTAGTTTTGCACAACTGGATGCGTTTCACGCGATAAGCGAAGTAACATCATCCTTTGGAATAGAAAAGAAAAACTATATGAAAAAGAAATTGGATGACAATATGTATACTTTTCAAGTACGAAGGAAAAAGATCACGAGGTTAGAATTGTAAAATTTGAAAACGAACATGAAGTATCATGCACGTACACGGAAGACTACTTTAGGTCCAGGGTAAAAATTTTGAATGAAGGACCGTACCTATGACAGCATATGAGATAAAATACAGGAGAATCGCCCTCTGTGTTCGCGTTTTGCCAGCGGCTGGATTGAATACGGAACAGAGCAATACGAGATCAGATCGAATGGTGTGTGCTCGCATTGTATTGGACATTTCTGTCTTTGATGCATCATCCGTGTTCTTGTTGTTGCCGCTTCGCTGCCCGGTTATCACCTCAAGCTGCCAGGTAGGACAGTCGCATAGCAAATAAGCACAATACCAATAAAGAACCGGACACGAAGAAAATATGATTCGCGTGAGAACCTGGGAAACAGAGAGGACGAGAGAAAAAGAAGCAGACATGTTCACTAAGTTCACTAATTAAAGAATAACGTGAAAACGGTCGAGTAGGAAGCAATATAGCGTTTAGTAGGGAAAACAACTATAGTGATTTTACAGCTACAAAGTGAGGCAGAAGTGCTAATTATCGTATCGAAAAGAATATCTATTCAGCATACACGGCAGTTGTTGGAGGAAGGATGAACTATGCATTATCAGCATGCCATAGTAAGATTGTGGAATCAGAGGTTCAAAACGGCAGTTATATTACTGCAGATTACGGATCATCGCTACAGAGTGATCTTTTGACTTGGTGTCTCGGAGAAACTGATACACTGACATGCGTGCGTGTTGATGAATGTTATAAAGGCAAGAGTGTATTGGATTGCAGGAAGCACCACTAGTGATAAGATAATTCTCATTCCATGCGAACTAACCCTGAGCTGACCACACCAAGGATGATTTCGGAAACAATCGGAAAATAGGAAGGAAGAACGGATTTTTCTGTTCAAGGATAATTGAGCTATAGGATAGACTGCTGGTGTTTGAACACCGCTGTCTACGCAGAATTGCACGAATCTGGTGGGGCAGCCGGACGAGCAATGCTGAGGTCAGGTGCAGTGCTTTAGGTAATTGCGGACTCCCAATGAAGCACGTGGTTGACCTCCATAGATATCGCTGGTTGGGACATGTGCTGCGCATGTCACCAAATAGGTTGCCACGGCGAGTGATGTACACCGGTTGGAAAATAGTCAAGATTGGTCAAGCTAAGACCTGACAAGACGGCATGAAACCATAACCAGGGGTCTGGGTCCGTTGGGCTCCTTGGATGGGGACATCGAGATCAGCTTAATCAATGGTTAGAGACACTGAATGATGTGAGTGAGTGTCGTAAACAGTAGCGTTCGTGCATCTTCTCAATTTCTTTGCAACATTAGTTCAATGAAATTCTCAATGTTCTCTTCGATTCTACTTCAACCTTCCACTCTTTTTCTTACTGTTCATCCAAATGTGCAGTTGAAAGACAGAAACCAAAACCGGCGCACGAAATTGCATGGTTAATGGTTGTACAAACTGAAAAAAAACTGAGCAATTGTGATGCAATACAGTTTGATTTGAAAACAAAACAGTAGCATCGCAAATATGGATCAATAGCAGGAATGTGACTCACCTGAACGTTAATATGCGTCAAGCCATAGATAGTCAGGAAGAGTGTATGCAAAACATAGGGCAACAATCGCCGGTCCCTAAGTGTCTCAGCCTTTAAACCCAAGGTTTTGTAAGTGTTTGGAGCACGACTATAAAAGGCGGCAGCACATGCTAAACTGAGAAAAACCACGGGACAAGCGAGCAAAAAATTTGGTATCTGTTTAAATTCATAATAACCAAAAAGATGCACGCTCCAGTAGCTTTTCTGAATATTTGGGTATGAAAATGGTAAATTCGATAAACACCAAGGTGGAAGGGAGCCAGAGGGTAGAGAATAATTTGTATAAATCCATCGCGGAAAACGGTACTGATTTTGGCGACCGAATTCGACAAGCGAATGCGGTGGCTTCGGAAGAAAAGCAAATAGAGGAGTTAGGAAAGAAGATTCGGTACAAAACAGATAAAAGGCGTACGCCTGATATGCTATTAGTGGAAAAATACAAAACAGAACGAGTAATATATAGGGAAATAGGGTTGCTGCCAAATAGAACCACCATGTGAATGTATTTTTGAGCAGCGTTAAAAGGGAACGTTTAGTGTCCAAAATTGTGCGTTCGTTCCAGATCAGCTTTTTACACGCATCGGAACAAAGCAACGCATAGCCAATATAGCCTATATTCAGCATCCCATTGCTACGACAAGCCACACTCAATGCAATGAAAAAACTGGCCCGAAACAAACGCCGTTGCTCGTAACACGAGAGAGCGAGCAGAGTGCAGAGTAAGAAAAGTGATTCCGAATAGAGTGAGGAGAAGAATACCAGGGCTGGATTAAGACAGAACAAGAGTGCAGCAAAATAGCTCACTTTGGCGGAACCGAGTACATTTAGGCCTAGACGAAATAGTAAAAGACAAATCATTGACCCAAAAACGAAGTTTAACATGATTCCAACCAGAAGCACAATTGTATCTAGCTGTAAAATTGCGAAAAAACATGGATGAAATATGCGTGACACAATGCTCAAAATACAAGGCCAGAGTGGGAAAAAGGCTAGACTTTGTTCGTAAATATAATTCCATTCAGCGATAAACGAGAAGTAGATGGAGTCCCATCTGCGATACCCCTTGAAAAGATCACCGACGATAGAATCCACGTGGTTCTGAGGAAGAGGCCTCGGTGGATTGAAAGCATCAGCATCGTGATCAGGAAACAGACGTAAGCAGACCTGAATGAAATCATGTAGTTTAGAATGATGAGAATTGGACTTACCGTTAATAAAAGAGCCGACGTTCGAACAAGGAAATAATACCGTAACAAGGACTTCTCCGCACAGTTGAAACGGATATACATGTCGTAAGGGTTAAATTTTGGTCATGGCTCACAAATGATGCTTGGAATCCAAGCGTGGTAACTGACTTCAGTTGCTGTAACAGAAGAACGCGTAAAAGTAAGGGTTAAAGGGATGCAAACAAACGGAAAAAATGCTCACATTTTGTAATAAAAACGTACGTGAACCAGCCCATCTTTCATCATCATTGTACAGCGTAATACAGCGAAGCGAAATTTACCGGTCGCTACTAAACTCATATTGCATACAAGGTAAGTGAGAATGTTTAAGGAGGATAGGGTTTGGACTAACTTTTAGGGACGGGAAAAGAAAGCGAACCTCTGGTCAACACACAGAGTACACAATCTAAGTGTGCATGCACAACTTTTCAAGCATTCTGACCTGACAAGAAATGACAACAAGAGCGCCACTGCTGTCGATTAGTCGCCATATCCTTCAGTGTCTCCAACCAGCCAGTTGCAGTTTTTTGGACCCCAATCTGGAAGACGGGAGATACCCATTCTACCTACTCGCTCTGTGCATTTCTCCATGCCTAGTTTCCACGGCATCTGTTGACATCCACGCGGTTTCTTCCAACCTGGAGTCGTAACTGCGAAGAAAGGCGCGGTGCGGTAGAAGATTACTGGACATGCGAAATGCGTGTCCTAACCAGCGAAATCGACCAATCTGAATTCAAGGAGACAACGAATTCTCCATCGAATCATTGCCAAATACGCGACGCCTCACCTCCGAGTTGCTTACACGCTTGCTTCATCCAACCCGCGCCAAACTACATCAGCAGTTGAGGATTTCTAGACAACGAATATCTTTCACGCGAAAATTTAGGGTCTCGCAACCACAGAGCAGAACTGACCGCACACTGGCGCAGTATACACGACCTTTCACTTCCAACAAAACATAGCATCTGCACCAAAGGCGTATGGCGTAGCTCGAGGACTTGACATAGAGTGACGACTTGATCGATAAAACCGCGATCTGGTCGAAATCCTGTTTGTTGTTCGCGGATATTTGTCTCCCTAAACGGTGTCAGACGACGAAGCGTGATGGAGGCTAGTAACTCGGTGACGATTGGGTTCAAACTTATGCCACGGTGATTTGCGCAGACATTGCGAGATCCCTTCTTAAAAATTGAAAGAATCAGTGATTCCCTCAAGGATGATGGAATACACTCGTGTGACCATATGTTACGCATTAAATTAGTAATGGAATCTACAAAGTCACCGTCCCCCA